GACGATGTGCAATCTGTCATGCGCCCGATTGTTGCGGCAGCGGCGTTGCGTGTACCATAGGTCACTGTTGAGCAGGGGCGGCGCATCCAGGGCCGTTTCAGCGCGGGCGCTTTTTTGTGCAGGCGCCTCCGCTCATTTGCAGCGCGCGGTGCGCGCGCCCTGCGCTGGCGGCCCCAGCTGACGTCGACTGCCTGGAAGCGAGGATGCAGGAAAACATGTTACAGTCGTCGTCAGACCTATGTCCGCTGGCTTGCTCGGGCATCGCTGCCAGGAGTGGGAAGAGGTGGGTTCTCTCGGCGATTCGGCTCAAGAACAGATACCCGCAGTGTAAAGTATGGGGAAATTTGCGCCGAAACGCGGCAGAGTTCGCAATGGCCGCAGCGTTATGAATACTCTGGGACTGGCCAAAAAGCCAGCGACGCAAGCCCGCGCGCGGCAGAGTGCCCGCGCGCGCGCCACCTACACGCAGTCCACGGCAGCAGAAATCAGAGGAGATCCACGGGATTGCAAAATAAGCAGAACTTTAGTTGACTTGGTCCGCATGACAGAGGCAGAGATCTGGGATTTCATGCTCAAGCTAGGCTTCGCAAAAGACTTGCATGGAGAGCACTGTCCTGTGTGTAAGGAGGGATCTCTTGGTGCCAAGCAGTTTCGATCTGACGGGGGCAAGCCATTCCACCGTTGCTCGTCTTATAAGTGTCAACATCGTGAGTTTCCATGGGGACAATGTCCACTACTGCATCATGGGCGACGTTCGGCACCTCTCCACCAGCAGCTCATGAACTTACTATGTCTGTCCACGACGAACTCCGTGACTAGCGCCATCCATTTGACGGGGCATGCGCGTAGGTCCGTATTCCACACGCACGGCCTACTACAGAATGCCCGCAAACTGTACGTGCAGCGAAAGGAGAAGGTCATGACATATGGCAGCGAGAAAAGAGTACCGGCGGAGAAGTGGCACGACATCGAAGTTGACGAAGCCTCGCTCGGCAAGATGATACTCCGCCCTCCACGCGGCACGTCTGACAAGGCGCTTGCTTGGGAAAACTGGATTGGTATTCTGCGTCGAGGCCACCCAGGAACTCTCATGCCCATTCGCTCGAAGAACTCGCCCGCCCTGGCGAGGTCGCCGGGCCCAGGGCCGATGACGAATGATCAGTGGAAAGCCATCGCCAAGAAACATTTGCAGAACCGCTGTGTTGTTATACATACTGACTCAGCAAGAGCCTATCGCGAAACTAACATCCCAGGAACTGTTCGGGAACAGGTTGTACACAAGAGAAAAAGAGTGTTCAACAAGAAGACTGGGCGTTACTTTTGGACAAAGCCAAAATACGTAGCTACAGTGCAGCGCAGCGTCGATGGCAAAAGATTTTGGCGCAAGTCGGGAACTCAAGCAATTGATAGTTGCTGGAGATTCTTGAAGGCCCACATCCACAAAAATCAATGTATGAAACCAGGGTCGCGCGCCGTTACGGTGGCAGTCAAGTCAGCACAATAAGAATACTGGACAAGAGGCATGGACCCGTGGCAGGCCATGGCAACGCTTCTCAAATGATTACCAATTGGCCGCGTATCTGTTCTTGCCCATCTTCATTCGCGCTGCTGGCTCGTGCAGGAGCCGAGCGGCCAGACTTGTGCACTGGTTTTGCGCGTACAGATGAAGGTCGCATACCTTCGCGCTTAGACGGGCCTCAGACACGATTCGCGTGATGTACTTCCTGGTTTCATCGCCGTCTTTCTCTGCTTCGCTGTTGGCTCGTGCAGGCGCTGACAGGCCGCGCGTTTCAACGCTATTGCGTATACAGTTGGACGCAGCAGTTCGCGGTCATCGAAGCATTGGTTGTTGTATGCCAACAAAAGTAACATCATCATCGCCGTGCGTGCCCGACGTCTTGCGACGTCATCCCAATCATCATCATTCTCTTCACCATCGGTATGTGCACCCTACCATAGCGCATTTGCATTCTTATCGTAAGTGCGTTGATGCATACACCCTCTTGGCTCCCAGAGATTTTCCAGGGGGTCGGAAGGGGGCCGTCGGCGGTCGGCAATGGCCCCACGAGGGCCCCAAGAGGGCCCCTATCGGGGGGGTCTGGGAGGGTCCCCCGTGCGTTAAAATCGTAGAATGTATAGAGGATTTGTCTCCCGTAAGTTATAATCTTACGGGGCGCAATTTCGTCGGCGCCGCGGGGCCCTCCTCGGGCCTCTTGGGTGCCTCTTGGGGTCCTCTTGGGGGCCTCTTGGGAGCCTGTTGAATCTTGGGGCTCTCTTGAGTTTACCTAGGCCCTCGTGGGGCCACTTTTGGGCCTCTTGCGGGGCTTTGGGGGCTTCTTTCGGGGACCGAGGTCCGAAACGACGACGACGACGACAACGGCGATGACGCGAACATGGCCTAATTTACCAGAAATCGTTGCCTCGGGGGCGCGGATATGGCGTACTTTATGGGGGGTCGTGGCTTCGGGGCCGCGAATGTGGCGTAATTTACGGATGGTTGGGCTCGGTAGCCAAACTCGAGTATCACCCTCGGGGCCAGATTGTTCGATTGTGTCTCAGGCGAAATGGTGTTTTTTGGGCCTGGAGGTCACGCGAGCAATCCTTGGATCGCCTGGAACTCCGGGATGTGGGTTTTATGCTAGTATTCACACCCTTGGAAAGACAATCGATGGGACCTGAGAACAGTCCACATCGCGTCTCGAGAAACAGTAGCGGAGTTGGGCTGAGTACTCGTTGCCTCCTCGTCTCCTCCCCTATCCGCGTTGCCGCTGCCCCTGCCTCGTTGCCGTGCGCCCTCGTCTTCTCCCTCATCTCCTCCCTCCTTTGTTTCGTTTCGTCCTTCGCCCCCGGTTCGGCCGGGCAGCCCGGCTCGGCCGGCAGAAAGAGGAGGAGAAGGAGGAGGAGGAGGAGGAGGAGGAGGAGGAGGAGGAGGAGGCGGAAGAGGAGGAGGCGGCGAGGCGGAGGAGGGTGCGTGCCAGGCGGGGAGAGGAGTAGGGGGAGGAGGACAAGGACGAGGACGGAAGAGGAGGACGAGGAGAACCAGGAGGAGGAGGATACGGACAACAACGAAGACGGCGGCGGCGGCGACGACGACAACGACGACAAAGATGACGCCGGCGGCGACGCTGACGGTTGTTGCCTCGACGGTGCCGCGCGGAAGCACTCGCTCTGTCGATTCTGCGCTCCGAGATGCCGCGCAAGAGGTGGTCTGGCATGAGGGTAAAGAATCGCCATAATTTCGGAGGGGTGTTCTTCTGTTCTTCGCCATTTGGACCCCTACATTGGGCTGGTCTTTCTTTCTGGCATCTTCATGGGGTCCTTGGCCTTCGGCGAAGGGGCTTGTGTTCTTGATCCATGTTTATTGTTGCCATGTCGACCGTAGGCCCAGAGATCCCTTACCCGTGGTGTTCCGGCCAGGTCCGCCAGACACATTTTACTCACTTTGGTTTCGGAGGTGCGGCGCACGAGGTGATCCCGCCAGTCTCGCCTGAGACGTCCTCGCAACCCTGTGTTTGAGATTCTTCGCCCTGAGTTGATCCTGCCACTTATCTCTCGGTACATCCCCCATCTCTGGGCTCACAGATGCCCCGCACGAAGCGCCCCAGCCATTTTAGCATGAGACATCCTCGCAACTCTGGTCGCATTGATGACTTCACCCGAGGTGGCCCGGCCATTCTCGCCTGAGACATGCTCCGAACTTTGGGCTCAGATATGCCGCGCACGAAGCATTCAAACCAGTCTTGCCTGAGACATCTTCTCAACTCTGGGTTCAAAGATGCCTGGACCTGAGGTGGTCCACCAAGTCTCGCTTGAGACATCCGCCCAACTTGGGCTCAGAGATGCCGCGCGCGAAATGGTCGGACCAGCTTCGCCTGAGACATCCTCGCAACTCTGGGGTCGGAGATGCCTCGGCTTGAGGTGGTCCATTCAGTCTCGCCTGAGACGTCCTCCAAACTTTGGGTTCAGAGATGCCGCGCACGAAGTGATGTAGTCCGTTTCACCTAAAACATCTTCGCAACTAAGTCCAGAGATGCCTCGACCTGGGGCGGTCCACCCAATCTCGGGCCAGATTCGGCGAAACGCATCCGTAGCCATTTGGGTTGAGGCTCAAGCGTGCCATTTTGGTCAGAGCCTCAACGGTCAAGCAATGACATATTGTTGGAGATCCGCATGCCTATTGACGTGCCTGATTCTCGCTGGAGCGTTGACGCCCGTATCGGCGGGGGGGTCTGCAAAGGATTCCCCGCAGGAGCTGTACGATCGAGAGACCAGCAGGGCGACGCCTGGCGATAGCCAGGCCGCCCGCCAGATCGCGTACCTGAATTGCATGACCTTTCCTTCTGTGCTGCACGATGCATTGGGTGTTCTGGAATCGCCCCGGTTCATTTATCGCAGGTTGCCCTGCGCTGAATATGACAATCCTTCATCTCTGCTTGCAATGCTCATGGCGGCATACTGCATATGCCGGAGCGCCGCTGGGCGCACAATTGTTGGTTTCGAGCAGCGGAGCGGCGTGTCCTTATCACTGGAGCAATACACGTGCATCATCAATCAGAAAAATCCGCGGACTGGTCTATGCATGGGAGATGTGATGCACTTGCTGCGATTGCACCCTGTGTACAAATTGGGTGGGGGCGATCCTTTTTTTCGACAGGGCAAGAGCGCGGTGGCGGCACCATTGTGAGAAACTGAACAACATCACAGACGTAACCCGCCGGGTGCAGGTGAAGAAAGGGGTTTTGCTCACGGCGCTATCGTTCCTTTCGGTGCGGAGCGTCCGCTTGCTGGCGTTCTTCGAAGAGCACCTGGACACCCTCTTGGACTCGGCAGCCGCTCTCCCACAAATCATCGACAAGGTCGTTTTGCGGGGGCCGGCGGCCGTTGGCTTGAAGAACAATACATTCAGCGCCTATGATTTGGCTACGACCGAGCAGCGGCTCTGGACTTTCGGCAAAATCCAGGACCACATCTCAACTCCAGCCTGGAGATGCTGGGGCAAGATGGACGGATTGCTCCGCGCCGCATGCGTGGCGGAGTTTGCTGGCGTATTGAAGACTATTTCGCTTCTGAAGGGACCTTTGCTCTTCTCACACACTCTCGAATATCTTCTGCTTTTCGATCGAGAGGCTCAGTGCCGCGTGTTTTCCTTCAGCATCGAGGCCGCGGAATCCTTAGCGCCATTTATCATGTCTGGCCAGAACGCTCAGGTTTTCCTGTCGTACGCGCGCGCGGCGAGGTACCGCGGCAACGTATATGAGGGCATCACGATGGACAGCCTGGCCGCGAAGGTGTGCGACTCCTACCTATCCGAACAGACTTCGCGGGATCCGAGAGCTACAGTTTCCCGCACTTCACTGCCGTGCCCAGACGCCTCTATCGGGGGAGACGGGCGGGAAGGAACGGGTCCCCGCGGCACGCGGCGCGACGGTGCGGCCGATGCTCATCGCTCCTGAGGCCAGACCAATCAAGCGCCTGCGCGGCAACGAGAGCATGTCGGAGCACCTGGATCACGAGGACTGAGACAAAAACATCACTACCCATCACAATAGTTAACCAGCCTCATCACCAACCGCTATCATTAACGTAGCCTCATCATCAACCAGCGCCAACCAGCTTCATCAGCATAGTGGCAGAATATAGCAGAAGATGGCAGGGTCGCCGCGCGCGCGGCGGCTCTTGGCGATCCCGAATTGCATTGTCTCGCGCAGAAAATGGCAGGGCCGCCCCGAGCGCGGCGGCTCGGAGGCCCTCAAGAACCGCCGCCCTTCAAGGGCCCGACAGAGATTGCACGAAAGAGTCAGTGAACCATCGCATGCAAAGTCAATGATTGGGCACGCATGTGTAATCCTGTTTTCCCGCTTGAAGCCCCATTGGGGCTGACTGCGCAAGACCTGCCAAAAGTATTGCCCGATAGGGTGCCGCCGCGCACACATATATATAAATATACATACATATGTATACATATATACATATATGTATATATATGTACATATATGTACATATAGACACACATACATATATATGTGTGTACATGTATGGAAATATGTATATATACATATGTATACACACATATATATATATATATATATATATATATATATATGTATATACAGATATATGTCGGGGCACGAGGCCGGGGGCCTCTGGCCAGATGCCTCGACTCGCCATGGGCCCCCCCCCCCTGGCCTCTCCAGAGCTGCTTCGGGGCGTCTCCCGAGCGGCTGTGGACGGACCCTGGTGCTGTTTCAGTACCAGGAATGGTTCCCATCTTCGACCCATGTCGCCGAAGCACGCGGTAGAGGTTTCGGGAGGCCTCCAACATGGCTCCAGACGCTTCCAGGAGCACTCCCAAGAGAGCCCCGGGAGGCCAAAATTGATGGTTTTCCGAGGGGATTGGAAGGATTTTGGCCTTCTGTTTTTTTCGGTTGTACGACGCTCCAAGACGGCCCAGGAGGTCTCCAGGTCCGCCCCCAAGCAGCCCCAGAGGCTCCCAAGACAAGCCCAAGGCGACCCCGGAGAGCCCAAGGCTGGCCCAAGAAGCGCCCACGACAGCCCAAGAAGGCTCCAAAACAAGCCCAAGAAGGGCCCAAGAGAGGGACCGCGTACCGAACACCCAGGGCTCCCGCCTCAACAGTGACCCTGGAGGCCCCAGGCAGCCCACAAGAGTCCTCCAACATGGCTCCAAACGCTTCCAAGAGCACTCCCACGAGGGCCCCAGCAGGCCAAACATTGATGGTTTTACAATAGTTTTGGAAGGGTTTTGGCCTTCTGATCTTTGCGGCTGTCCGACGCTCCTAGGCGGCCCAGGAGGCCTCCGAGACCGCCCCCAAACAGCTCCAGAAGCGCCTAACGCCGCCCCGAGGCGGTCCCGGAGAGCCCAAAGCTGGCCCAAGAAGCGCCCAGGGCAGCCCACGAGTGCCCCAAAACAGGCCCGAGAGGTGTCCAAGAGACGGGACCGCGTCCGGAAAACCCAGGGCTTCCGCCTCAAGAGAGCCCCAGGAGGCCCCAGGTAGCTCCCAAGAGGCTTCAAACATGGCTCAAGACGCCTCCAGGAGCACCCCCAAGAGGGTCCCAACAGGCCAAATCGTTCATTTTACGTAGGAATTGGAGGATCTTGGCCTTCTTGTCTTTTCGGCTTTCCGACGCTCCAATAGGGCCCAGCGCGCCTCCAGGTCCGCTCCCAGACAGCCCTAGGCGGCCCAGAGAGCCCTAGGGAACCCGCAAGACCGGCCTACGCAACCCAAGAGTTCCTCGGCAGGATAGTCCAGAGGGGGGAAGACCAGGGGAGCCTCTGGCGCCCCATGCTCAGGGACGTCCTCTGGAAGGGAAACATGGAGTTCTGGAATGGCGTGGCTTGCAGTGCACGCCGCCTTCGTGGTAAGAATCGTTCGCGGGCATCGCACCTGAGCGTTGATTCAACTAGAAACTGAGCGCGCGCGAAGCGCGCGATGGTTCTAGTATATTCATATATGTATATATATGTATATATATGTATATATATATATATATCTATATATATATATATATATATATATATATATATTATATATATCCGTAAGGGCTTCGCCCTCTACCGTCGGCACCCTTCGATCATAATGGGATCTATCAGAGTCGTGTCGATGCGTGTCGGCGCTGCCTTGGCGCACCTGGGGACATCGTGTGGGGGCGGATAGAAATCATCAGTGCATATCTAGATGATGGCGTTATCCTAGTGGCTTTGGTCCATCCCGCTACCATGCTTGGGTTGTGGGTCTGAGGTCTCTTGTATATGTGTTGGGCTGGTCTTTCTTTCTGGCATCTTCGTGGGGCCCTTGGCCTTCGGCGAAGGGGCTTGTGTTCATGATCCATGTTTATTGTTGCCATGTCGACCGTAGGCCCAGAGATCCCCTTACCCGTGGTGTTCCGGCCAGGTCCGCCAGACACATCTTACTCACTTCGGTTTCGGAGGTGCGGCGCACGAGGTGATCCCGCCAGTCTCGCCTGGGATGTCCTCGCAACTCTGTGTTCTGAGATTCTTCGCCCCGAGTTGATCCTGCCACTTATCTCTCGGTACATCCCCCATCTCTGGGCTCGCAGATGCCCCGCGCGAAGCGCCCAAGCCATTTTAGCTTGAGACATCCTCGCAACTCTGGTCGCATTGGTGACTTCACCCGAGGTGGCCCGGCCATTCTCGCCTGAGACATGCTCCGAACTTTGGGCTCAGATATGCCGCGTACGAAGCATTCCAACCAGTCTCGCCTGAGACATCTTCTCAACTCTGGGTTCAAAGATGCCTGGACCTGAGGTGGTCCACCAAGTCTCGCCTGAGACATCCGCCCAACTTTGGGCTCAGAGATGCCGCGCGCGAAATGGTCGGACCAGCTTCGCCTGAGACATCCTCGCAACTCTGGGGTCGGAGATGCCTCGGCTTGAGGTGGTCCATTCAGTCTCGCCTGAGACGTCCTCCAAACTTTGGGTTCAGAGATGCCGCGCACGAAGTGATGTTGTCCGTTTCGCCTAAAACATCTTCGCAACTAAGTCCAGAGATGCCTCGACCTGGGGCGGTCCACCCAATCTCGGGCCAGATTCGGCGAAACGCATCCGTAGCCATTTGGGTTGAGGCTCAAGCGTGCCATTTTGGTCAGAGCCTCAACGGTCAAGCAATGACATATTGTTGGAGATCCGCATGCCTATTGACGTGCCTGATTCTCGCTGGAGCGTTGACGCCCGCATCGGCGGGGGGGTCTGCAAAGGATTCCCCGCAGGAGCTGTGCGATCGAGAGACCAGCAGGGCGACGCCTGGCGATATCCAGGCCGCCCGCCAGATCGCGTACCTGAATTGCATGACCTTTCCTTCTGTGCTGCACGGTGCGTTGGGCGTTCTGGGATCGCTCCGGTTCATTTATCGCGGGTTGCCCTGCGCTGAATATGACAATCCTTCATCCCTGCTTGCAATGCTCATGGCGGCATACTGCATATGCCGGAGCGCCGCTGGGCGCGCAATTGTTGGTTTCGAGCAGCGGAGCGGCGTGTCCTTATCACTGGAGCAATACACGTGCGCTATCGTTCCTTTCGGTGCGGAGCGTCCGCTTGCTGGCGTTCTTCGAAGAGCACTTGGGCACCCTCTTGGACTCGGCAGCCGCTCTCCCGCAAATCATCGACAAGGTCGTTTTGCGGGGACCGGCGGCCGTTGGCTTGAAAAACAATGCATTCAGCGCCTATGATTTGGCTACGACCGAGCAGCGGCTCTGGACTTTCGGCAAAATCCAGGACCACATCTTAACTCCAGCCTGGAGATGCTGGGACAAGATGGACGGATTGCTCCGCGCCGCATGCGTGGCGGAGTTTGCTGGCGTATTGAAGACTAGTTCGCTTCTGAAGAGACCTTTGCTCTTCTTACACACTCTCGAATATCTTCTGCTTTTCGATCGAGAGGTTCAGTGCCGCGCGTTTTCCTTCAGCATCGAGACCACGGAATCCTTAGCGCCATTTATCATGCCTGGCCAGAGCGCTCAGGTTTTCCTGTCGCACGCGCGCGCGGCGAGGTACCGCGGCAACGTATATGAGGGTATCACGATGGACAGCCTGGCCGCGAAGGTGTGCGACTACCTACCTATCCGAACAGACTTCGCGGGATCCGAGAGCTACAGTTTCCCGCGCTTCACTGCCGTGCCCAGACGCTTCTATCGGGGGAGACGGGCGGGAAGGAACGGGTCCCCACGGCGCACGGCGCGACGGTGCGGCCGATGCTCATCGCTCCTGAGGCCAGACCAATCAAGCGCCTGCGCGGCAAGGAGAGCATGTCGGAGCACCCGGATCACGAGGACTGAGACAAAAACATCACTACCCATCACAATAGTTAACCAGCCTCATCACCAACCGCTATCATTAACGTAGCCTCATCATCAACCAGCGCCAACCAGCTTCATCAGCGTAGTGGCAGAATATGGCAGAAGATGGCAGGGTCGCCGCGCGCGCGGCGGCTCTTGGTGCTCCCGAGTTGTATTTTCTCACGCAGAAGATGGCAGGGCCGCCCCGAGCGCGGCGGCTCGGAGGCCCTCAAGAACCGCCGCCCTTCAAGGGCCCGACAGAGATTGCACGAAAGAGTCAGTGAACCATCGCAAGCAAAGCCAATGATTGGGCACGCATGTGTAATCCTGTTTTCCCGTTTGAAGCCCCAGTGGGGCTGACTGCGCAAGACCTGCCAAAAGTATTGCCCGATCGGGTGCCGCCGCATATATATATATATATATATATATATATATATAGATATTTATATATATGTATATACATATATATATATATATATGTATATATATATACATATATACATATGTGTACATTTATACAAATATGTACAGATATGCATATGCACATATTTGTACATTTACACATATACATTTACATATGTATTATATATATAATGTATATTATATATATATATATATATATATATATATATATATATATATATATATATATATATATATATATTCGTATGTGTACATGTATGTGTATATATATACATATATATATATATATATATATATGTCGGGGCACGATGCCGGGGGCCTCTGGCCAGCTGCCTCGACTCGCCATGGGGGGACCCCCCCCCGGCCTCTCCAGAGCTGCTTCGGGGCGTCTCCCGAGCGGCTGTGGACGGACCCTGGTGCTGTTTCAGCACCAGGAATGGTTCCATTTTCGACCCATGTCGCCGAAGCACGTGGTAGAGGTTTCGGGAGGCCTCCAACATGGCTCCAGACGCTTCCAGGAGCACTCCCAAGAGAGCCCCGGGAGGCCAAAAGTGATGGTTTCCCGAGGGGATTGGAAGGATTTTGGCCTTCTGTTTTTTTCCGTTGTACGACGCTCCAAGACGGCCCAGGAGGTCTCCAGGTCCGCCCCCAAGCAGCCCCAGAGGCTCCCAAGACAAGCCCAAGGCGGCCCCGGAGAGCCCAATGCTGGCCCAAGAAGCGCCCACGACAGCCCAAGAAGGCTCCAAAACAAGCCCAAGGAGGGCCCAAGAGAGGGACCGCGTACCGAACACCCAGGGCTCCCGCCTCAACAGTGACCCTGGAGGCCCCAGGCAGCCCACAAGAGTCCTCCAACATGGCTCCAAACGCTTCCAAGAGCACTCCCACGAGGGCCCCAGCAGGCCAAACGTAGATGGTTCTACAATAGTTTTGGAAGGGTTTTGGCCTTCTGATCTTTGCGGCTGTCCGACGCTCCTAGGCGGCCCAGGAGGCCTCCGAGACCGCCCCCAAACAGCTCCAGAAGCGCCTAACGCCGCCCCGAGGCGGTCCCGGAGAGCCCAAAGCTGGCCCAAGAAGCGCCCAGGGCCACGAGTGCCCCAAAACAGGCCCGAGAGGTGTCCAAGAGACGGGCCGCGTCCAGAAAACCCAGGGCTTCCGCCTCAAGAGAACCCCAGGAGGCCCCAGGTAGCTCCCAAGAGGCTTCAAACATGGCTCAAGACGCCTCCAGGAGCACCCCCAAGAGGGTCCCAACAGGCCAACGTCGTGCATTTTACGTAGGAATTGGAGGATCTTGGCCTTCTTGTCTTTTCGGCTTTCCGACGCTCCAATAGGGCCCAGCGCGCCTCCAGGTCCGCTCCCAGACAGCCCTAGGCGGGCCCAGAGAGCCCTAGGGAACCCGCAAGACCGGCCCTACGCAACCCAAGAGTTCCTCGGCAGGGTAGTCCCAGAGGGGGGAAAACCAGGGGAGCCTCTGGCGCCCCATGTTCCGGGAACGCTCCTCCGGAACATGGCGCTTCTGGAATACGTGGCTTGCAGTGCACGCCGCCGTCTTCGTGGTAAGAATCGTCGCGGGCATCGCACCTGAGCGGTGACTTCAACTAGAACCTGAGCGCGCGCGAAGCGCGCGATGGTTCTAGTATATTCATATATTATATATATATATATATTATATATATATATATAATTATATATTTATATAATATATATATATATATATATATATATATATTATATATATCCGTAAGGGTTTCGCCCTCTACCGTCGGCACCCTTCGATCATAATGGGATCTATCAGAGTCGCGTCGATGCGTGTCGGCGCTGCCTTGGCGCATCTGGGAACATCATGCGGGGGCGGATAGAAACCATCAGTGCATATCTAGATGATGGCGTTATCCTAGTGGCTTTTGGTCCATCCCGCTACCATGCTTGGGTTGTGGGTCTGAGGTCTCTTGTATATGTGTTGGGGTGTCGTGGGGGGCCTCTCGGGGGCCTCTTGAAGGCTATTTGGACGCATCTTGGGAGCCTCTTGGGCTCTTGGGGCCTCGTGGGTATCTTGTGTGCCTCTTGGAAGCCTCTTGGGCGCGTCTTGGGCGCCTCTCGGGGCCTCTTGGGGCACCTTACTGCCTTTTGGGGCCTCCTGGGGGCTTCTCGGGGTTTCTCGGAGCGCTTCTTGGCAATCTTGGAGCCCTCTTGGGCCGTCTTTGGGCCCTCTTGGTCGCGTTTTGGGCTGTTTTGGGGCGGTCATGGGAGCTTCTTGAGCCGTCTTGCAGCGTCGGAAAGCTGAAAATGCGAGGAGGCCGAAATATGTCAAAGACCTTCGTAACATTTGCCATGCTGACCTCTTGGGACTCTCTCGGGAAGCCCCTTGAAGCGCTCTTGGGGTCTCTTGGGGCCCTCTTGGGCTGTCTTGGCGTCATCTTCGGGCGCCTCGGAACATTATTGGCCTCGGCAGCGCAAATATGGTGTAACTTGCAAAGGTTTATGGTGTCGGGGACGCGAACATTGCGTAATGCACGGGGGTTCTTTGCCTCGGGGGCGCAAACATTGAATACTTCGCGAGGGGTTATGGCCTCGGAAACGCGAACATTGCTGAACCTTCGAGGGATTATAGTCTGACTTCGGGGGCGCGAGTCGTATGTATTTTTACATGTCCCACGTCCCCCCGGGAATTCAGAGCACGCGATCCGAGGGTGGTAAATTGCTGATTTGGGGCTCCCCCACTCGCGCGGACTTCAACAATTTCCAGTAGGAGGCAGAAAGCAGAACTGTAACGTGGAGACTTGACATTGCAACTGGCGCAGGGAGCAGCAACCTAACCCTACAGCCTGGTGGCCCCACAGGGGGGCCGGCGGATATACACATGTATCTACATATCTATATACACAGATACATGTGTATACATACACGCATGAATACACATGTACAAATGTGTGTATATATACATACATACATATACATGTATACACATATACATATATACATTTATACATTCATGCATCTTAGTAGTTTCAGCATCTGTCGCCCGCAGAAACCGCCAGGAAGTTATGCACTATACGTTGTCCAGTGGCGTTTCTGCGAAGCCCCATGGGACAGGGCCCAGATACCTTAACGTATAGTTGTGCAATGACCAAGACGTCGGGGGATCTTGCCGACGTCGATCTTGGTCATGGTCCATGCCGGCCGTCGCCGACGCGCGAGGATGACCCACGAATCGGCGGTGACCAAGACGGGCGACGATCAAGATCGACACCCATCGGCGCCACCCAAACATGCTAATACAACGTGTGCGTCGCCCCCGAAGGGGCGACGTGCGCGCCGAGAAATCTTGTAGTCTATGCTCGGTGGCAGGCGGTTTCTGGCCGTACCGCTCGGGAACGATATATTTCAAGATGAATGTGCTATATGTTCGAGTCGGACGCACGCCTCCGAGGAGGGCACATAGCACAAGTATGTCCTTCTGCGTTTCAACCCACGTTTCCGCGTTCAGTCTCGGTCATGGTCACCGTTTCGCTTCCCTCCGTCAGCGACGCCCGGAAGCGGCCGCGACGGTGGCTCGCCCCCGCCGCCGTTGGACGCCTGCCAGCGGCAGCTCGAGTTCACCTGCCAGGGTGCTGCGCTCGAGGAGCTGGAGGATGACCTGGGCCAGGGGGACGAGGACGCGCGTCGGGTTCGGCTCCTGCGCTCCTGGGCTCCTCCTCCGCCCTCCGTCGTTCTGATAACGAAACCCCCCTGTCGCACCGCCAGACTTGTCCGTAGGCCAGGCCTGGCGCTTCGCTGGAGATTTCTTGCAAGATCTGTTCCCCCGGAACTTGCAAGCATGTGTCGCTGCTACGGGTGGAGGGCCGGTTGTTTTCAGACTGTGGCTCTCGATTGAGAGCCGCGCACATTCATGTTGATATATCCGGACAGTCACACGGACGGAGGGCTGGTGGTCTTCAACATGTGCTTGTCGCCTGAGCGCTGTGCACATTCGTCTCAAAGGATGGAGGGCTGGCTGTTTTTGGATGTGGTTCTCGCCGCATCGCCGCGCAGTTCGCCTTGAAAGCTTCAGCACCTCCGCGGGTGGAGGCTGGCCCGTCTTCAGAGACGGGGCCCTCGCCCGAGGCTTCCTCAGACATGTTGCTGCACAAAGTGTGCCCATCGGTCGTTGAAAGTAGGTATTTTTGGAGTCCCAGGTTCCAATCTACTTTAACCGCCTTCCCACTTGAACGATCGAGTGGCTTCCCCTCTTCCCGCCTCTTCAGAGGGCGGGCGGAGACCCAATCCATTTCCAACGCCTTCCAGATTCATGCTTCTATCTACTTCTTCCGACCGACGGGTAAGCTAGTGTGTAACAGTTACACGGGCGGAGGGCGGTTCCTTTTTCAAAGTGGGGCTCTCGCCTCAGACTGCTCCTTGGCCTGGTGGCCAGAAGTCGAAGACGCGCAACAGCTGCACGGGTGCAGGACAGTTCCTGTCGAGAACGTGGCCGTCGAGGGGCGCCTCTTCGAGACCGTGAAGACCTTCGAAGGAGGGCGGCTTCTTCCAAACCCAGCTGCCGCCCGGATTGCTGCCCCACGGGGCGCTCGTCTTTCACCAGGGGTGTCTCGCACAGAGAAATCGAATTGATGCAACTGGGGACTGATGAGGGCGGGACTCGGGACGGCTGCGGAACCGAGGGATTCAGAAGCCTGGCCTGCCCGGAACCACAGCGGGGTCTGGCGGCGGGGCGCGGCAGCGCCCGAGAGACCAGCAATCTTTCTCCAACTCGCGCTCACGCCTCTGTAACACAAATCGTCTCAAGCCGGCTCGAATAGCTCGAGCCGAGTCAGTTGCGGTGAAACGACGGGGACATGAGAGGGCACAGTAGAGGACACAAAGGGCAAAAGAGGTCAATGAGGGCAGAGCAGGGGACAGATCCAATTCGAGGGGCAAGATTTTCCTCAACGGGGGGGGTGTATCGCAGCATCGTCGGCACATCTTGGGTTGACTCTCCCCCTCGTCCTCCTCATCTGGTCCTCCTCTTCGTCTTCCTCCTCCTCGTCCCTCCTCGTCCTCCTCTCCATCGTCCCCCTCCTCCCTCCTTCCTTCTCCCTCAGCCGCCGTCCTGGTTCGAGGTTTTCTGCGAAGCTCGTCGGGACAGCTGCCAGACTCGCCCGCTCCGCCGATTTTCGGCGCGTCGAGCCAGCCGTGCCCCGCCATGGGCTGCCTGCTGATGCCTGCCCCATGTTGAGCCGCCCATGTGGCGTGGCCTCCGCTGCGGGCAGACGTCGCCTCAGGACGGGTCGCCATCCGGCATGCGCATGTGCAGGCGCTGGCCGTGCGCAACCCGATAGGGTGTGGCACCCCGCCCGGCCTTCACGCGTCGCCCCTGGACATCCTGCTTCAGGAGCTCGTGGCGCACGCAGAGGCGCCGGAGGCTGTTGGTGGACGGGTGCCGCCGCCGCCGCCTGCCAGCCTTGCGCCAGGCGTGGCTGGCTTGGGAGCCGAGGCGCTGGCACTAGCTGCACCGTGGCTTGTCGCCGAGGCCGGCCTGCTCGCTATCCAGGCCCGTAGCCTTTTCCATGGCGGCGCAGTCGAGGGCCACAGCCGCTGTCGAGCCATTGGTGGCCGCGTGCCAGGCGACCGCATGCCGCGCTGCTTGGCCTAGGCGCCGCGCCGGTGCTACGCGACAGGCTGCGGCAAGTCGTCTGGCGGAGGCAGAGCGCGAGACTGGGACGGCACGCCTGGCCGCAGAGGAGCGCGAGCTTGCAGCCGAGCGCCAGGCCGAAACCGTGCACCAGCCGGACGTCGAGCGGCGCGCAAAGGCTGTGCTCCAGACGGCGGCTGAAGGCACAGCAGACGCTGAACGTCTGGCCGCAGCGGAGCGCGTAGCAGAGGCCGAGCGCCACGCGGCGGCCGAGCGCTTGGCAGAGGACGCCAGGCCTCGGGAAGAGGCCGAGCGGACGACGGAGGCCGAGAGCCTGGCAGAGGCCGATGGCGGAATCGGGGGCCAGGCAGCGGCTGCCGAAGGTGCGCCGTCTATACCGCGGACCCCCGAACATACCCCGCGAGCATGGTTTGGGCTCAACTGCGGCTTGCAGGCAGGTGCTCCGGTGTGGCTGTCTCTTCGCATGCGTCGCCTTCTTGGAGCATAGCAGTCCCGTCATTCCCTGCGCCCCTGGCCCGTGCAGGCCTGCTCCCCGTCGTCCGCCTGCAAGCGCCCACGGGTGTCCAGGCCTTCCGCTTTACGCTGAGAAGGCCGCCTGGCGGGGAGCTCGGGCTCGACCTGCAGCGTGGCGAGCACGGCAGGCACCTGGTCGTACAGCATGTGGTGCCTTGGAGCTTGCTCGATGCATGGAACTGTTCACATCCGGCGCGCGCTTGGCTTGTCGTGCGCCTAGGGGATTCCGTCGCCTCCGTCAACGGCGAAGCCGACGGCGACAGCTCCTGCAGGCCTGCCGTAACGACCTCGCCCTGACGATGGTGGTCGCGCGGATGGAGCAGGCTGCTGCTGCTGCTGCTGCTGCTGCTGCTGCTGCTGCTGCTGCTGCTGCTACTGGGCGGCGGGAGGAGCCCTTTGCTGAACGCACCGCGGCTTGGCTTCCGCCTTGGGCATCCACTGGCGTAGCGTGCTCCTGGACCTGAGGCTTGTGGTGCAGCTCGGAGCAGTGCGCCACCGCCGCTGCCTCTTGACGAGAGCCGCGCGATTGCCGTGCGGCAGCCGCAGGTCTCCGCGGGATCCGTTTTGCATGGCGCCGGGCTTGCAAACCCTGCCCGCTGTTCTGGCGACTGCAAGGACGGCCCCATGGTGCAGGTGACTTGGCCAACGCCCTCCTGTAGGTGTTCCTGAACGCGCTGCTCGGGATCACCAGGTAGGCCGCTTCCGCGGCCAAGGCGAACCTAGTAGGCATTGTGTCGCACCATGCGTCGTCTTTGGACCAGGCAAAAGGCGGTCAGAAAGCACAGCTAGCAGAATACCATGTGATGAAGCTCGCTGCCCTCCGCCGTAAGTTCCCGTCCGCTGCAAGGGCAGCGCAGTCGTGACTGGTAGTTTCGGCTGCAATGTCATTCGTTCCGAGGAAGTTGGAGTGGAGGTTCGGCGGGGGCGGCGGTGCGGGAGACTTGTCTTCGTGTCTGTGTTCCGTCAAGAGGTTCTCGCATCCCTCCCGCCCTCCCTTGAGTCACATGCGTTCCTCCCTCCTTCCCTCCCTCCTCCCGAGCGTCCCAAGGCCTAGCCAGGCGTCCGCAGTCGTTCATTGAATGAGCTCTCACACCATCTTTTCTGCCTGGAGCCAATTGTCGACGACTCGAGCCGATGCCAAACATGCTCTCTGATATGGAGGTGGATTTGTGTGGTCTCATGGGCTGGTGTAGGGCGGGGGAACGGGGCAAGGGGAGCGAGTTGGAAGTGTTAGGTCTTTGTCCCAACCTCTTCCTTCCCTATCGTTCTCCAGATTCCTCTCTCCTGCCCCCTCATTTGTCATGTTCTGCGAGCGTGAGCCTGGTGGGGCCAAAAATGAGCTCGCCGCGAGTTGTCGCCCCTTGTTGGCTGGTGCTACTGTCGCGGATCATCGTCGTGATTGATCGTGCGTCGTGCAGTATTGGAGCCAGGTAGATCGATGCCTCCCTCGGTGGTGATGCCCTCCGTGTGGTGCTCCCTTCTGTGTTGTCTCCACGCAAGAGAATTGCCTTGCCTGCGTAGTTGTCTGCTTTTCGGTCGCATCGTGCAGAGGGCGTGGAACGAGCTGAAGATGTTAGGTATTGTCTCAACCCTGTCCCCCCCTCTCGTTTCAGATTTTCCCCCCTCCCTCCTTCCATCCCCCTCCCGAATGGCCGAGTGCCCACGCCACGGCGGTCGTTCCTGTGTAAACTCACGCCAGCGAGTCTGCCCGGACCCGACTGTCGACGACTGTAGCCGGTGCTGGCCACGCTGCTTGATGTGGAGGAGGGAGTGTGTCGGTGAGCGGGGCGAGGAAGTCATGGAGTGGAATTGATCCTTCATTAGCCTCTGCATTTCGGAGCGACGTATCCCGTCGTTTTTGTTCCGTCGCGGAGGTTGCTTTGCTCTGTTCTTAGAGCTTTATTCTTGGCGCCCATGCCACATGTGCCAGTGTTGTTTTCCTCAGTTAGCGCCTGTTGTACACTTTTCGGAGCCCAGCTCCGGTTTCGTTCTGCAGACAGCGTTTGAATCAGATGCGCAATCCCAAAATCCTTCTCCCTCCTCCTTTACCTCCCTCCTCTCTCCTTCCTCCTCTCTCCTTCCTCCTCTCTTCCCTTCCTCTTCTTCCTCCTCCTCCTCTTCCTCCTCCTCCGCTTCCTCCTCCGCCTCCTCTTCTCTCGCCCGCCCGCCCGCCCGCCCTCCCTACCTCCCTCCCCCTCCTCCCCCTCCTTCCCTCCTCTCTCTCCGGCCTCCCCGTCCTTTTTCCTGCGTTTCTCATACCGTTTCATCTGCGCCCGTGTGCCTTCGAGGAGCCAGCGGTGCCGAACTACCGCAGCTTCCACATCTCGAGGTCGGACTAGGCCAGGCATCCGGGCAGCAAGAGGTCATGATACTGATGCGTTTCAGGACCTCCAAGGTTTCCAGGGACTCCCACATTTCCTGATATTCCGCGCTGGCTGCTCCGCTGGATATCTTGGCAATCCTGGAGCGCCTCCCGAGCCAGTCTGGTCATGACAGCACCCTCGCCCCCAGGGCAGGCCGCGTAGACAGAAGCAGCTCCGTCCTGCGCTCGGTGCCTCCATGGGCAGGGGCAGGCAGGGGAAGACAG